CCTCATTGGATTGTCTCCCAAGGTACTTGAACAGTACCTGGCATATATAATGGGTGTTTCTTTTACTTTCCTATGTTCATTAAGATCCACAAAAACACTACGGGTACTTAGCACAGTAATATTTCTCTATACTACAAGCTACTGGACACTTATTTTGACTTGTTTTCCTTATTATAAATGACATTGTGAGGAGAATCCTTGATCATAAAGCATTGCCTTTGCTACTTTTTTCTAATGTATATCGTAGAAATCCAGTCACTTGACATATCTGGCGAGTTACAGAACTATTTATACTTTTAGTACTGTGTGAAAGTCACTCTCTCCCTATAGCCTCTGTAAGACTCAGTATTATTACTTTTACAGTTTATTGTAATGTTCCTAATTGTTCTCTGGTTGCAAGTTTTCTACCTGATGTTTGTATATTCCTTGAGGGCAGGACTGTCACATTGTAGCTGGCCTCCAATTGGACCACATCCAGCCTGCTACCCATTCATTGTTATTGTTATTACTGAAATAAATTCTGTTTTGTATAGTAAAAATATAGAGCAGAGTATTACGGAATCCATACAGATGATAAAAAGTTAGTGTAGTGAAATATTGTAGTTCAAATATCTGTCATTTCACATAGTTACTCATTCCAGTAGTCTGTTTCCCATTGCTGGGACAAGATATCCCCAAGACCCGCAATTTACAGGAAGGCAGGTATATTCTGGCTATCATGGTTTATGTAGGTGGGTCCCAGACCTCATGCATTTGCATTATGCATTTGTGATTGGTTTATTGTCTAGAGCTTGGATTGATGGTGTCAGTGCTACACCCACATAGGGGTGGAGCCAAGATGTAATGTAATGGCAGGAAGAAGGTGTGTCTCTCTCTGTTGCCAGTTTCTGCCTTGCTGTTTGCAGCCGCCACGAACTCCAGCCATGCCACCCTGCCTTGGAACCAACTGAGTATGGACTGAAACCTCCAAAAACCATAAGAAATAAACCTTTCCTTTTCCAACTTGGTGCATCAGGTATTTTGTCTCAGCGATGAGTAAAAATTAACTAAGACACTGGATCACAGCTCTTAGAGAATTCAGTCCATGGTTGGTTAGAGAAAAGGCAGAAACTGCATGGCCAAAGAACACGGAGAGGAAACCTGCTCAACTCATGGCAGCCAGGAAACAGCAAGAGGGGCGAGGCTGGAGACAAAAATACACCTATCCAACTAGGCTCCGCCTCTCAGCAGCACAATTACCTACTGAGTCCAATGAATGAATCCCTTGATGAGTACAGTGTCACCATGATCCAATCACCTTCCAAAACTCCACTCTGAATATAGGAGACTTTGTGAGGACATTGTAGATCTAAACCATAGCACTTAGTTATTTTTTGTTTTTGTGGCAGGAGCAGCTAGAATCTACTAATTTAGGACCGCCTCGTGCAGTATGGTTTTATAAATGTGGTTCGTACCTTACGGAGTAATCTAGATCTATTTATCTCACATACCTGCCACTTTGTATCTGCTGCACTCTTTTGTGTAGCCCAGGAGCTAGGAGTGGTTCTTAACCTTTTAAAATGTGACACGTGAAAATTACAGGATGTCCAGATTTCAGTGTTCATAAAGTTTTATTGGAACACCGCCATGCTTATTGGCTTCCATCTTGTGTCTGGCTCCTCTCACCCCACACTGGCAGAGGTGATTGATTGTGAGATTTGCAGACCTACACTTTAAGGCCGTGACCAAAATTCAAGTCAAATGTATTTTATATTTCTTGGCACTGAGAAGGGAGATCTGATAGCCAAGTATTTAAGAGTAGGCTTTAGTCTGATTGCCTGGGCTCCAAGTTCCACCCAGTCCCAGCTGCGGGACCTGGCTAAGTCACTTCCTTCTCGTCTGCGTGACAAGGATGACGGCAGTGCCTTCCTGTAAGGTACATTGAAGATTAGGATAGGTGAGGCACCTCTCTCCATCTTGTTAGGTGTATGCTGCTGTCACTAATTGGTACACGCTTAATAGATTATAGTTGGCAGGCTTTTGAAAATGATTGCCAGGAGAATGAGTGGCCTGAAATTATTTGTGTTTTAGAATGATAGATGAATTTGATCTCATTTATTTCCTTAATTGTTTTTATTGCTACTTATCTGACATAAATTACATTCCCTTTGGCTTCAGGACATTAGGTTCTCCTGAGTGTTTCTGGAACACTGGAACAAAGGTCTGCTTTGCAGTCTCACTGTGGGGGTTACTGTTGTCACTGTCGTAGCTTGTGACTGTCTAACCCTAGTGGGGGAGAGCTGCTACCGTGATTGAACCTCCTGCCTTGGCTGTGACCATGAGATGAGGTTTGGTGGCTCTTCCTCCTCCTTCCGAGGTAGTATCTGAGAAATTACCTCTACTACCTGAGAGTTTTCTAAGTTTGCATACTTTTATGGCTAAGTCGGAGCTGGTTGCCTAGGGAAGATGGTGAAGAACCCAAAAGCAGTCTTTGCATTTGAATTTCTTAAATGCACATTTCATAGCCCAGGTCGCAGGAGATAAATAGCTAGAGGTGGGGGTCTCCATGGTAGAAACTTGAGCCGGCAGCACCTGGCCTTTTTCCAAGCAGCTGATCAGCACAGGCCAGTCCTGCTTGCTGTCCCTCAGGATATTGTGGGGACCTTCAACTCATTTGGGTACAATAATGGTATTATCTTGGTATTTAAATGTACTCTCCAGGAGGGTCTGATTTCTGCAACGGAGTCAGCATGGTCTGTAAAATTTTATTAAAAATATAATAACACCATATGCTCCGGTTTTCTCATTAAGTGGTCATCTAAAGACAAAAACATGCAACATAAACACACCAGCTGAAACCAGTTAAGTATGTGTTCATTTCTCTAATTTAAAAAAAGAATGGTGGAAAGTTTAGAAATGTGGGAGTGAAGGTGCGCACCTGGGAATCATCATTTGAACAAGCTACAGGTAGAAGCTGCTACCTACCTTCCTGCCTTCAAGGAAAGCCAGGCTCTCAGAGTCCCCTTGCCACTCTGAATCTGAGCTTGAACTCCAGAGGGAGAAGATGCTGTCTATTTGATGGTGCAGCCAGCCGGGAGGCAACAACTAGGACTCCTTGGCCCTGCAAACAAGCTCTTTGTTGTTTTTATTAAATGGTTGGCTGTGGATCTCATGGTGGAATCTTAACTGCTCAGGTCTCTGTGTGCAAAGTGAGGAGAGACCCTGCAGTTCTTTGCTTAAGAACTGTCTAAACTAGGTGGGCCTGGCAGCACATGCCTGGAAGCTGAGGCAGGAGGAGGGGAAGATTCAGCCCAGCCTGGGCAATTCAGGAACTAAGCAAAAGTCTATGTCAAAATAAATAAAAAAGGGTGAGGATGTAGCTTAGGGTGAAGGCCCTAGATTCACTCTCTATAATTTCAAACAAAACAATGTAACCCCTCCCTTACCCCACTAAAACAAAATAAAAACAATCCAGAAGAATGCCTACACCAAATTCTCTGATACCTAAGTGTTGAGAACACTGCCCACCCCACCAGTGGGCATAAAAGTGCTCTTAAGAAGAAGGAAAAAGTTTTGACCCTTTGGAAATTTTGTGCACACCATATAAGCAGTAATTACCAACTGCTAGCTGGCTAATAGAAGTTTGTGGCAGTGTAGAATTCTTAATCCAAACAAGCCTTCTGCAAAATAAGGAAGAGCTCCCATCTCCTTTTCATGGGGAGTGCTTGGGGCACTGTGTTTGTATTTTCCTTCCCAGGTCCCCATAGAGGGGGCTTGCTTGGCCTGGGTTGCCTGTCAAGAACTTGAAGGTTGGTTAGTAAGTGCCCTTGGGTTTGCACTTGGGTTTAGAGATGTGCTGGGTGCAGTGTCTCTGTAAGTCTTGGGGATCTTGTCATCAGCCTTTAGGATCATCCTTCCAAGGTCAGGGTGTAGTTTAGGTCTCTGTACCTGGGGTTCAGGAACCTGAGAAAAATGAATGGAAACAAAGCCATTCCTGAGGAAGCCTTGGGCAAGCTGGGTGTGTTATCTGCTCATCTTGTCATCATCTTTCCCAAGAGGTGGGAGCTGCTTGCGGTCAAAGCTTTGTGCTGTGGTGGGGGTAAAGCTCCTTCAGAGTTTGCATCTGAGCTTATCTGCATTCCCATCTTGCTCTCTCTGCCTGCTGCCTTCCACCACAAGGACCACTTTTGAAGTTGTGTTTAGCTCTGTAAACTCAGCAGTCTGGGTGTGAAGTGGGATTCTAGCTTTGGGATGAGCAGGTACCTGCTGTGGGGAGCAAATCATTCTAATAAGGACCAGTGAAGTGTCGGGCAATCTAAACCAGGTTTTACTTCTTGGCAAACAGAGGACTAGAACTGCTCAAACAACGAAGAAGTCAGTCCTATATCTCTGATGATGGGCACTTTCTGCTTTCTCTCTTTTCATGCTGGGCACCCATCCTGGTCTGGAAAGTGGAAGAGGGAGCCCTCATCACCTTGGAGGAAGGCTTGTCACCTGCATTTCTACCAAGCTTCCCATCCTTGGGCAGCCTTCTCAAGTTATAGGGCTGGCCACATGGTATAAAGGTTGCAGACAAAGCCAGCACTCCCTCTTGATCCATCTGGGCCCCTCCCTCTGCCATCCGTCATTGTCAATGGGAGATGTATGTGTGGCCATGCAAGGGCAGCCTCTGACCCCAAGGGGACTGGCAGTGCTCATAGGGAAGGCATTGTTTGCACGGGACTCTTTGGAAGCCAAACTCCACCCATTTGCGGAGCAGCCCTCCCCTCCTGGACTCCAGCACCACCAGTCCAGGTGAAGAGAGGGAACATTCTGCTGTGAAAGGCTACAGTTACTTTACTCCTGCTCCCTAGCATAATTCTCAGCCTCTTCTCTCTTCTGTTTCTGTTCTCCCTCTGGTCAAAATCATAGGGGGCTTCTGAAGCAGTGAGGCAAGGATTGAGATTACCATGATTTTTATTCAGAGAAAATGTAAATAACTGAAGAAATAAAAGCTGATAAGATGCAGTAAATGCACAATAGGGAAATTATGAAATACTGCGCTCTCCATACATAGGGAGGCAGTTGCTGGGAGGAAGGTGGGAACCGATGCTCTGAGCCTTGTGTGTGACAGGAGGACAGGGCTGGAGCTTCTGAAGCACAGAAACACTCCAATGCCGTGAAAAAAGCCACAGCTGAGCCTCTGAGGGTGAGGGCTGGACTGAAAAGCAGTGCAGAGTGAGGTCCCGGTGTGTCCCCATGCCTGGGAGGGAGAGGACGATGCTGGTGCCTTTGTGCCACCCTGGCCCAGTCTCACCGTAGATTTGAACCCTGCTCCACATTTCCTAGAAGTATTAAGTTTTGAAAAATTCTAAACATGAAGATGGACTTTCCCCTACTTCCTTTTATTTGTGGTGTTAGTGATGGGGTACATTCATACAAAAAAGCCATGCCAGCACCAGACTGCTTGTTCACAGGGCTGCATGGGCTGGAATTTTCTCTGCATCATTTACTCACAGGGCACACTGACTTGTTACTTGGAACCGAGGTGTGATAGGTTTTCCTGCCACCATCTCTTGGAGACCGTGAAGATCAAATGAGATGATGTTCTCGGTGGTGGTAAAAGACTGTTTATTTAAAAAGGGTGAGGCGTTTGCTGGCCAAGAGTCAGCACCAGGCATGTGCATATTTACTGAACCTAAGCCTGTGTTTTAGTTCTTTTCAAGGTGACTTTATTTTATCATTTGATACCAAAATTACAAGGCTTCACAAACTCAGACCTTAAGCATGGAAATACTATTTTCTTTTTAAAATCCCATTCACCTAGAAAGCCAAGTATCCACTCCTTTTCTTCCTCCTCCCTGCACATTTTGTTTCCTCCTCTCCAACCCCCTCCCGCCCTTCCTTTTTTGGCTCAGTGCAATCTGAGTACCACTTTTCTGGGAAAGCCTGATATTCTGACTTCAGTTTTGTAATTTAATGATGGAGAATTTCCTTAGTAAACCAAATTTAGAGTCCTAGAATGCTTATCTTATATCCAGACCTTGAACATAAAAGGCATTTTCTCCCCGCAATTGTTCATTTAATGAGCAATTGCAGAGTGCAGGCCGGTTGAGGGATTGAGCTATATGCACTATTATTGCAAGAAGTATTCCGAAATACCAGAAATAGGACGTAAGCTCTGATCAGGGAGACTACGAGCACAATTACCTTCTTTTCAAATCCTTCTGTGACACTGCGGGAGGAAAAAGGACTTTGAAACTTGAAAGGAAAGAGCTTGCTTTCAACCTCAAAAGCTAGGAGGAAGGGCTCTGAAATTTGCTCAGAATTCCCAATTCACCATTAGCCTGTTTCTTCCTTTAGCCTCAAGGCATTCTCTGCTTTTTGAAAAGATGTTAAGAAATTCAGTCACAATAGAGAGCCTAGTTTTGAACATGTTTCACTGGGTCCATTGAGGTCTGGGCTCCAGCCTTTGTGTGGGGTGAATTGAGCTGAGAGGCTAGCTGGTTGGAGAGAGGGGAATGAGTCGCTGTGCAGTCGCAAATTCTGGCAAAGAAAAAAAAAAAAAGCTCACCCCTTCCTTTATTTTACACTATGCATTCCTGTACAATCCTGCTAGTGGCAATATGTAGAGCTGAGCCTGTCCCTAAGTCAATACGGAGTACTTGGTTTATAGCAACTCTTGTGAAGTTTGTCTTGTAATTGAAGCTGCTGTTGACCTTGCTTGGGGACCATTTGTAAAACCGTTTATTTAGCATAAACTGAAATAATAAACCCTCCTTCTCCAGGGCCGATTGTGATAGGGTGACATTAGTTTGATTTAATGATTAGCCGCCTGACCCTTCTGCTGGAGAGAGCTGCTTGAATAGGGAGAGTTCACTCCGAAGCACTCGCAAAGAATACTAATGAGCTTGTTAAATTTAGCATGGCTCCAACCACTTTTAATTCCTCTAATGGGAGCCTGGGAGGAGAGGGAGAGGCAGAGGCAGAGGCTGAGGCAGAGGCAGAGGCAGAGGCAGAGAGAGGCCAAGAGAATATTCCTAGAGGGTCTGCACAGCTAGAGAAAGCTCCCCAAGAGAAGTTTGCAGAAAGTAGCTAGCCAGAGCTCGGGCACTGAGTTGTAAGTATGATTTGCGCTCTTACCCTCTGTGGCTTCCAGGTCTGGGGCAAGAGAGGATAATGGTATTAAAATGGGATTGCAGGGAAAGGGGGGTGTCAGCTGAGCATCGATGTTAAGGGGAGCACGTGTGCTCTGAGCTCCTCATCAGCCTGTTTATTTAAGTGACAGGGAGTGTCCCTACTTAGTGATGCCCGGCAGAGTTTGGTTATTTACATTGGAAAGCATCGTTTGAAACTTTTTTCTGAAGTCCCATGCAAAAAAGAACATGTGTCCTCCTTTGAAATGACAAACAGCACAGGGGTTTAGAAGCCAGACTTCAGGAGCGTATGTTTGAGTCTTGCTTCATGCCGCAGGATTACTTTGTCCAGACCTTTACATTCAACTTGCTAAGCGCTGTCTGCAATGAAGCGGCTTTTGATTTTTCTGAGTTGCCGGCACCAAGTGCCCGAATCCATGACTGTTGCTTTTGGATGAGTTTGGAAAATCTAGGGCAGCTTCTAAAGTGTGATGCTTTGGGCAGCTGCCCTTTGGGGGGGCAGGAGTTTGTTCACTTGAACAAGGATATACATTTTTTTTTTAAAAAGGAGGTTAAAGAAAAAAGTGGGATTGTGATGATGATATTACGAGTCCATTTTTTTCCTGAAAGTTTTTAGTGAATTGTACGTTTCAGTTTGACCTCTGGGTTTGCAGCTGTTAAGCAGAGAGAAGCTCGAACAGTTGCTCTGTGTTTGGCTGTTAAAGTCCATTGGCAGATGCTCTTGGATGCAGTGGGCCGTTTTGCTTACATTTTTGCAGCCGACTTCTGCTTGTTGCCATGGTGGACACTGTGTTTCTGTCAATAATTTGGCCTGGCGTATCCTGTCTGCACTGACTCTCAAACTTTATTGAACAGCTCGGCTCAGCTGAACAAGATGAGACAGCTTTGGTCTTTTTGGCTTGCTGCAGTGGTTGCTGAATTCATAAGAGCAGGCAGGAATATAGCTTGCAAAGTTTCTCTCTCCCCATATGCACAGCGCTTTCAGACTGGTAGCTGTTTATCTGTGAGTGCATCAAAAGCATCTCTGCACGAGATAAAGTTCATAATGAAGTCTTTGTCTGCTGGAATTTTCTGTTTTTGGAGGGGGGCAGATGTTAGGTAAAAATGTTATAGCACCAACTACTGTAAAATCTACTGATGAATGCTTCTGCATTAAAAACCATTCTTGCCTGCATTTAATTTTCCTAAAGAGGAAAACTTATTTTCTGTACCCAATATTTGAACTTTGGTTACTTGTTATAACTTTAATATTTGCACATGTTGGGATAACTCGTGGAAAGCATCACGTAGCCAATAAGCACCCCCATTTCCAAACCCTTCTCTCCTGTCTCCTGGTTCCTTCTCCAGGGAGGTTGAGGGGTAGGACTGGAGGAAAGAGAGAAAGCTCTCTGGTCAGACTACACCGATGATTCAATTATTGGTGAAGTTGGATTCAGATACTCATAGAAACACATCGTTTCAAAGAAACTTGACTTTATTATAGGGATGTCTTTTTAAGGGAAGAAAAGTTAATTTCTTCTAGGAAGATTAAGTCAAGGAAATCCTGTTTTAAACCTGGAACAGATTAGTAAAGCTTGGTTATTCATCTTTCCCAGAGAATGCTAATTACGGGTCAAAATCCCCCTCACCCCCCAAGGGTTTCCTAGCTCCCAGATGAAGGTCCATTCTAGGGAACCCTGCACCCATGCTAGAAGCTCAATTCAGGTTGGAATTTAAAACAAAGATTTTACACAGAGTGTAAATTAGTGGAAAATATGACTTGGTACATTTGTAGGTTGTAGAAATTTTTATAAAACCGACGTAAGTTTTAGTGTTTTTGACACCTTTTTGGGTTTATATTACTGCACAGCCTGCTCCTCTGGTTTGCAGCCCCACGGCTAATGAAGTACAAGGGCGGACCAGTGCCCAAATGCGACAGTCAGGAGGGAAAATAAAAATGTAGGGATTTTTGCAGTTTGTTTTAAAATTACCAAAAGCACGACTTGAATTACTTTTGGAAAGATTAATGTGAAAATGTGGGGTTATGCCAATGTTTGTGTTTCTCTTAGTTGTTACTTGATAGATTAAACTTGTAATGTATGCCTTAATTACAAGGTTCTGGGTGAGGAGTTGCACGATTTGCACAAAACAGTACTAAAATAGTATTTCACAGTTACCTTGTAGCAGTCAGCAAATTCAGTGTAAAGACCAGAGTATACCTCATTGTCGGTTCTGCTTTGCAAGTCATTTACTAGGCTAAAACAGTTCATTGCTTATTTTCCAAGCCCTGCACACGGGCAGAAAGACTGAAGTTGCTGCTGGTTTTAGGTGCTTTCCACACAAAATAGTATTCATTATTTTTCATCTGTATTTTATGGATGGGCTGTGTGTATATATGTATGTGGGGGTCTGCTTTCTTTCAAATTTGAAAAGAACTATGAAACTTTCTATGCCCAGTTTTTCTGGTTTTGGGGGGCTGTAACCTGGGATGTGTTCAAAATGTGTGCATCTAAACTAGACAACTCCAAATGTAGCTTATTTTTTATTTTGAGGTGAAGACTGTGAAACCGGTTTTGAAGTAGATGTCTCCTAAGTGATTCCCAGATATCTTCGTGGCCATCAGCACTTAGCGCCTGAGCACAGCCTGTTGATTAGATATGGAGCTTGCTCTGAGGTGCAGAGTTGAGAGTGCATGCGTGACTAGAACAGATGAATTGGGCCACATGCCCTGGGCTTACCTACCAGGACTGGTTTAATTTTATGGATTGGTCACATTTGCAGAGAGCTGTAATGGATAGACAGGAAGTTCTCACACATCAAAGGGAGTCGAAGTATAAGGGAAGTGGATACCAATTCTGCATGGATTTTCGTCCATATGTTTCTTACCTGTTTGGAGAAATGTGTAGACAGGTACCAACGTCACTGTAGCCTTTCTCCTTCCCCCTGCAGTGTCCCACACCTGGACTGCAGTCTCACTCCCTTTTCCTAGTGGTGCCCTGGTGTCATGAGGGAGGGTCAAGTATCTCCCAGGAGGGTCTGTAGTTTACACCACTGGCATCTTTCTATTCCTTGACATCAGTGGGTGAGAGTTTCATTTCTGTCTCCTCTGTTAAGTCTTTTGGGGGGTTGTAAATCTGATTACCAAAAAAAAAGGCTTGGGAAACTTTTGGGTCATTTTCTAATCATTTTCTAATAGGTCAATCATTAAGGAACAAAGGCTGGGCCAGGCACCCCTGAGCCACCAAACTCCCACTGAGCAACTGGACTCCTCAGCATCCCAGAGACTCTGCTTCCTCAGGTGGATCAAGGGTAGCTGGGCAGCCATGAGCTGGGGCTGGAGAAGCTTTCAGCCCCGTGGGGACCTGTGGAATGTTGTCACATCTATACAGAAAGCTGCCTTGGCAGAGTCAGCCATGAGTCTGAAGATGGTTTGTCTCCCTTTATCCCTCCCTGTATATTCTGGACCCTTACTTGTAGGCAGTTTTGTCTTACAAATATCCCATCACAGGTGTGCAGCATGCAGTTGCCAGGAAGGGGAAAGAGGCTTCTTTTTTGAAACAGGAAAAGAGAGGGAGACCATTGATGACTATATATATTTTTTTGATTGCTCCTTAATGTGGCTTCTAAAATCTTTCATTTTCCTTCTTTCTTCAGAGGATGAAAGTCCTGGACAGATCTATCACCGAGAGAGAAGAAACGCAATCACAATGCAGCCACAGAGTGTGCAGGGGCTCAGTAAAATCAGTGAGGAGCCTTCAACGTCCAGTGACGAGAGGGCCTCGCTGATCAAGAAGGAGGTCCATGGGTCCCTGCCACACCTGGCGGAGCCCTCCGTTCCCTACCGAGGGACCATGTTTGCCATGGACCCCAGGAATGGTTACATGGAGCCTCACTACCGTAAGTGCTTCCTGTCCACCGGCATTTATTTGATCAGGAGCCATGGGGAAAGCCATGAGGGGTATGTGTGTGTGTGTGTGTGTGTGTGTGTGTGTGTGTGTGTACACATATATGCACGTGCATATGTGTGCTCTATGAATTACTGGCCTTGTATAATTTATAAAAATGCTTAACTTTCTTTCCACTATTTTCCTACTGCTATTCCTTGTCCATTCCTCTTAGAGAAAGGCATTTTCATACCTGCCCAGGCCATTTTGGGCCTTTTTATGAGTGGCCTTCAGAAAGCTGCTTCTTTCCTGGCAAATATACATGGACCTTTCCTGAGAACCGGAACCAGATTGGCTCTTTGCAGGGAAGTGCTGCAGGAGAAAAATTGTTTGGTGGGGGAAGTTATTAAAGCAAGCTGCGTTAGAAGTCTTTAATGACAACTGTTTTCATTTTTAATGATTTTCAATTTAATGATTTTGGCTATTCCCGTGTTTAATGGTTTGTTAAAGCAAACCTCTTTTAGCAAGTCGGTGCTAGATTTATTAACAGGGAAGATTTTTTTTCTGACCCACACTGTTTTTCTCTCACCCAGAGATGTTGGAAGCTTCTTTTCCAGCCCCAATGAAAAGTTTGTGCAATTGACCAGGACTCTGAGCACAACTATCCAATGATTTCTTTTTTCCTCCAAAGAAAGGATGCAAAGAAAAATATATAAGCGTTCAGTTTACTTCTGGCCTGTTTCTAGTTTTACAAAGAAAAATACAATTTGGTACTGGGATAATGAAGTTCATATTGAGGTGCCAAAGCGCACAGCTCTTAATTACAGATTTATCACCTGGCCAGGATTCAGACTTGCCATTTCACCTTCCTGGCTCCAATTCCAGATGATCCATTGAGCTCCAGAGAGGGGGAACTGGTTTGTGTTTCCCTTTTTCCACATCATTCAGAAATTTTAGTGTTTTAAGGCAAAAGGTCATTAGCCAGATGACTGATTAGTGAGGATGGCTGATTAGTGCATGGGTTTCTTTTTTTTTTTTTTTTTTTTTTTTTTTGCTCAAGAAAAGTGCCCAGGATAAAAGCTAATTCCATCCCTTCATTAGTTGGCTTGCAGTGAAGGGGAATGCGTGCCCATCAGATCAAAGGACCTTGCAGCAACCTCAAGTCTCAGCAACTGCCTTTCCCCTACCAGATTATATTGTTGGGAAAAAAAAAATGGAAGTTGCATTATGGTTTAAGTGGCAAGGGTGTTTTTTAAAGAAGTGGTCAGAAGTATGGAAGCAAAGGTCTGTGGCTTCTTCTTCTAAGTTTTTTTTTTTTTTTTTTAAAGGCTACTGCTTCTCTATTTGAGAAGTACATATCATTCTTATTGCTGCAGAGGTGGTTTCTATAAATACAGAAATAAGGAGGCGACGTCCAGGTCATGGACTCTTGCTTTTTTTATTGAAGGTTTTTGTTTGGTTGTGTTCTGTTTTGTTGTTTTCCTTTTCTGTTAGGAATGCAGATTTCTTAAATAATGTTGGTTTTTGCTCTGAGCACATTCCAAAATTTTCAAAAGTGTGTTTTTATTGGTGAACCTCTTTTAGAACCAGCGCTTCCCACCTCCTTCCTATACCTGTATTTCTATACCCTGCCAGCACACTTATGTTTTTCTTTTTAATAAAGTCTAGCTGCGTGCCCACAAGCTCTCTGTATTGTTTCTGTTTTTCTGTGTGAACATAAACTTTTCCCATTGCATATTGATGTTTTGTTTTTCTTTCCAGATGCACACTAATTAGTGAGGTATTTAATTAGTCAGGACAGCTGATGAGTACATCTCTTTTGGCGTCAGGTAGTGGGCAGAGAACCGTTAACTTTCTCTCCGTATGCAACTGGCAGCTGGATCTTGGTTCATTTGCTTTAACGGTTTTTGGCTCAGTCCTCTACTGGTCACTGGCAGGGCTGGCTCTTTCTCCACCTGGAACCTCCCCTTCTCTCAGGGGGCTGTTGAGACCCACTGCCTGGACCTCTACTGGAGTATCAACTAGCACTGGGCGCTGGAGATTAGGGTTTGAATTCATTTATTGAACCTCAATTTTGGAAGCACACTAGCTTTATATGGTATTACTTCAGTTTTCCCCAATATATTGTTCAAATCAGCATTAAAATTATGTGGTACCTTACCATCAAGGTAAGCTGTTCTGTAATGAAATGGCAAGTGTAATTTTGACCTGCTATCTCAACGTACTTTTTAAAATGACCCAAATAAACTGGATCATTATGTGGATAATAGGACCAGAGAATCCTACACATTGCAGTTTGGCTTGGGATGTAGGGAATTCGGATTCAAGTTCTAGTTTTTCACTTATGACCTACATGACAGTGACTAAGTGTGCTGACCACTGGAAGAATCATTGCCTGTCCTTGACAGTCTGTGTCGTGGTGTTCTTGTGGGATTTGGGACAGTGCAGATGAAGCCTTCAGTAAAATCTCTAGCACATAGTGAGAGCCTCAGAATTATTAAGGTAGCTCTCTTCCTCCTTTTTTTCTAGACCTCTTTCTTTTCCTTTTTCTCTTCCCTCATCACCATCACCTGATGGTGAGTTCATCCTCTAAACTGACTGATTTCTGCAGCTGTCATGGTGACGTTTGGTTCAGTGTAGCATGGCTTTTTGCAGGCTCCCCAAAAGCAGTGTTTTCATAAATTCAGATTAGTAAGAAGTATGTTACAAACTTCAGGAAAAGACTTGGGATTGTTAGAATTTTGTCTTCAGACTTTTTAAGATGTGTTTCTTTCTCACCAAACGCCAGTAGAACAGTTACAGTTGTTTTCTGGTTTGTAAGGAAAAACATCATGAAGCTTTTAAAGGCGTTTGAGAAGTCTTAGCAGAAAGTATTTTGTGAAACAAATGCAAACATAATACAAAAAATAGAAAGGTGCAATGTTAAGTATTCATATCAAGTAACATAAAGGTATCTAGAGCTAAGCCTTTAGATTCAGATAAGATAGGACTTGACTTTTTTTCCCCAAAGGTTATAACCTCTGCCAAGGGTTGTTTAATCTTCTACTGGCATCACAATCGTTTTATTTTTAAGATACTTGGTGATAAAATCTACTTACCTCATATGGATTTAATTAGCCAAGCAAAGCTAATGACTGATGTGAGCTGAAGGTGATCCATTTCCTAAGAATTTTGTGTGTGTGTGTGTGTGTATTTGAAAAGCACCCTCTATTTATAAGTCATAAAATTCTGATGGGATTTGTCTTGGTCTTCAGGACTGACCACAGCCCACATGCACTGTAGACCTTCAGATGCTCAAGGTCGAGAGACATCCCAGTGGGTCACTGCCTTTCCCTCTAGCTGATTGCCAGCCCAATCGGAGAGAAGAAACTCCTCCAGCCTTGCATCCTTGGCTCTGGGAACATGCGCAGTGATTCTTCCATTTCTCTGTGGTTGGAAAAGATGCCTAATTTGTGCTTCTATATATACTGACTTTGTATTTCTAAAGTGCGGGTAGCTTCTTATAAGACCGGAAAAAAGCCCCCACCCCATTTTTCCTCTTTCAGAAGAATATCTGTAAGATTTTTATTGCAAAGGATTTTATTGTACTTGGATATGCAGGTACAATTTGTGTATGTTCACAAATTGTAGTTAGGAACAATTCAATGGATTTTAGATTTTGTGGGTTTGATTAAAAAAATGGAAAAAAGAAAAGAAAACTGAGGGATAGCGGGCACTTCAAACATCCACACATATGTTTGGAATAAAATCCTCAGAGGTGATGCGGGAGTGTTCTCTCATGAAGGGTCGCTGTGTGCGGACGGGCTGTATATCAAAACGCAGAGGAGCCAGCAGCGTAGCTCAGACATAGTGGTGGGGCTGGCATTCTCTGGGCCGTAGGACCACTACTAGTGCTTTATAATTTGGGAAACTGTAGGGGGCTGAATTTGGAGGTCTGATATGCTTCTCTTGCAGTGAGAGAGAGAGAGAGAGAAGGAGAGAGAGAGAACCCCCATCTCCTGTTCTAAGATTTCTCAGCAGAGTTTTCTATACCTGCTCCATTTGTAACCAGATATTTCAAAGCACCATCACCCCTTACTTTCAGTTACTGCTACGCATTTATTGTTTTATAAACTTGACTAGGCAGGTGACATAACAGTTCAAGCATTCCTATACCCTGATCGACACTTAACTTTTATTCTTTTCCCATTTACAGAAAACACGTGTTTCACTGGCTTCCCTCTCACTGTGAAGAGTCTAATTTTCAAGCTGTCCCTGCAGGGATCTTTGTGTGAAGTTCTTTGCATCCCCTAGTTCTGCCATTCAAGGCCTCTGCTGGTTTGGTTAAGGCGGGGATGGGGAGGGGGTCAGTGTGGCAAAAACAACGATGCCTGCTTTTCCAAAAGCCCAGGTCCCTTTTACAGTTTTATAGCTGTGTGAAGACTGTTTTTGCCTCTGCCCCCAACTGCTCCCAAGCAATAATTCCTCATGGAAAATGTGATTCATTCCTTCATGCAAATGCTTTGATTGAAAACACACTGCTGGTATCCTTCCTTATGTTTCCCAGCTCAAATGACAGAACTATTAGTTGCTAATTAGCAAAACCTGAGGAATTAGCTGAAAGAAAAGAAACTGAATTTTTAATTGGCTTGCATTTATTTTCGGTAAAAGGCTGTTGTACTGAGCCCACTTGCATTCTTGTGTTGCTAAAAAAATGCACATTTTTTTCTCCTACCTGTCTGTCTTTTTATTAGGTGACTTTCTACACCCCTTAGAAATACATCTTGTGAATGAGTAGAAGAGGATGTGAATTTTACATATTTAATAGGTGCACCTGCTCACATTTCTGTTGCTGTCCCAGTGTCATCTTGAAACTGTGAGACAAACATGCCCACAAGGCACAAGTGAGGGGTTTGCTGTGGACCAGACTGTAAAGCAGTGATGGTTCCCTGAGCACATAGTACCACTCATCCAGACTGTCTGGACCTCTTTGAGAACTGCTGATGCGCCCAGCAGAACTTTTTTCCTTTGAAT